CACCCAGACTGAAGTGCAGTGGCCGCTCCAGGCCATCGCAGCCTCGACCTGCTGGGCTCCGGCGATCCTTCCGCCTCAGCCTTCCAAGTAGCTGGAACTACAGGCGTGCGCTACCACGCCCGGCTCATTTTTTGATTTATTGTAGAGATGAGGTCTCGCCAAGTTGCCCAGGCGGGTCTCAAACCCGCAGGCTCAGGCAATCCTCTCACCTCAGCCTCCCAAAGTTCTGGGATTACAGGCTGAGCCACCAAGCCCGCCTTTTTCTCTAGTTAAGATTTTCTTTTTATCACTGGTTTTAAGCAATTTGATTATGAAGTGCCTTGGTGTAGTCTTCTTTGTGTTTCTTTGCTGGGGGTTCATGGAGCTTCTTGAATCTTTGGGTATAAAGCCTTCATCAAATTTGTAAAATTTTTGGACGTTATTCCTGCAAATATTTTTTCTTCTCTCCTTTTCCTTTGAAGACTTCAACTACATGTATATTTGCCCATTTAAAGTTTTGCCATGGCTTAACTGATGCTTTCTTTGACTCTTTCAGAGTTTGTCTTTAAGATATGTTAGGCAGGGCCTGAGAGGCATTTATTCTAGAGTTAATTTTGTTAAACAATGTCCTGTGAACTATGAGGTTTTCCACTCTAACTGTTGGAAATAACTCTTCCTGCCTTGTGTGATTCTAGGCACAATTCCCTCTTACCCTTTTGAGTGGTTCTTTCCTAGGCCTTGGGTAGTTTCTCATATGCATTCTCTGATCAGATCCCAACTGGATATTTGAGAACTCTGCGTATTTCTGAATTTTTCTCTCTGTGCAGCTCTCTTCTTTGGTACTCTGCAAAGTGAACTCTAAGGCACCATGACTTTCCCGGATTTCTTGCTCTGTTTTTTCAGCTTGGGAGGTCTGCTGGCTTACCTCAGCTCTTCTTCCCTTTGCTGTGACCTGGAAACTCTCTCCAGGAAGTAAGCTGGGGCAATCACAGGGCTCACCTCTTTTGTTTCCTGTTTCTCAAGAATCACTGCCATTTATTGCCTGATGTCCAATGTCCTAAGACCTCTTGTTTCATACATTTGTTTCAGTTTTTTAGTTATTTTGAGTAAACATGTTCTCTATTATTCCATCTTGACTGGAAGCCAAAATCAAATGTATATATTTTTTAACAGATTTATTGAGACAAAATTCACATACCATACAATTTGCCCATATACAGTGTGTGGCTCAAGGATGGAAGTTTCTCAAAAAGTTAAAAATAAAACTACCGTATGATCCAGTAATTCCACTACTGAGTATATACCCAAAAGAAAGGAAATCAACATATCAAAAAGGCACCTATGTTTATTGTAGCATGATTTACAAGAGCCAAAACATGGATTCAATCTAAGTGCCCATCAACAGATGAAGGGATAAAGAAAATATGGTGTGTATGAATATGTATATAGAATGGAGTATTATTTAACTCTAAAAAAGAATGAAATCCTGTCATTTGCAACAACATGGATAGAATTAGGAGGTCATTACTTTAAGTGAAATAAACCAAGTACTAAAAGACAAATATCACATGCTTTCACCCATATGTGGGAACTAAAAGTGAATCTCATGAAGATAGAAGGTAGATTGGTGGTACTAGAGACTGGGAAGGCTTGGGGTAGAACGAAGAGTTGTTTACCAGATACAAATATATACGTGCTGATAGATGAAACAAGACCTAGTGCTGGAAAGATCAGAAGGGTGACTATAGTGTAAAATAATCTATTGTATTTCAAAATACAATAACTAGAAGAGAATAATTCAAATAGTTCTAGCATAAAGAAGACAAATTTTTAAGGTGATGAATATCCCAAGTACATGGATTGGAACTTTACAAAGTACATGACTGTGTTAAATTATCCCATATACTCTGAAACTATGTACATCTATTGTGCATCAATTTTTAAAGTGTATGGTTCAGTAGTTTTTGGTAGAGTTACAGATTTGTGCAACTATTACCACAACCCTAGAACAATTTTATCAGCCCAAAGAGAAAACCTGAACCACTAGTTGTCAACCCCCAGTCCTCCCATTTACCGCAGTGATCACTAATCTACTCTGTCTCCATAGATTTGCTTATTCTGGACATTTTGTGTAAATGGAATCATGTAGCATGTGGTTCTTGAAAACTGGCTTCTTTCACTGAGCATAATGTTCTCAGGGTTCATCACGAGTGTAGCATTTATCAGTACTACATTCCTTTTTATGGACAAGTAATATCTTATTGTATGGATATTTACATTTTCTTCATTCATTTTTTAGTTGATGAACATTTGGGTTATTTCAATTTTTTGGCTATTATGATTAATGCTATTTGAACATTTGTGAACAAGTTTTTGTATGGGCATGTATTTTCATTTCTCTTAAGTATATATCTAGGAGTGAAATTTCTGGATCATATGATAACTCCATGTTTAGCATTTTGAGAAACTGCTTAAGTGTTTTCTAAAGCAATGGCACTATTATGCATTTCTACTAGCAGTGCATGATGGTTTCAATTTCTCCAAATCTTTGCTGACACTTGTTATTATCTGGGTTGTTTTTTTTTTTTTTTGAGTAGGAGTCTCACTCTGTCACCTAGGCTGGAGTGCAGTAGCATGCTCACAGCCACTGCAGCCTCAACCTTCTGGGCTCAGGCGATCCTTCCATCACAGCCTTTCAAGTAGCTGGAACTATAGGCATGTGCCACCATGCCCGGCTAATTTTTTTAAAATTTATTGTAGAGATGAGGTCTCCCAAGTTGTCCAGGCTGGTCTCGAACCCATGGACTCAGGCAATCCTCTCACCTCAGCCTCCCAAAGTGCTGGGATTATAGGTGTGAGCTACAGCACCTGGCCTATCTGATTGTAAAGTAGTATCTGGATGTAAAGTAGTATCTCATTGTGATTTTGATTTGCATTTACAAAATGGCTAGAGATGTTGATCATGTTTTCATGTGCTTATTGACTGCTTGTATGTCTTTGGAGAAATATCTATCCAAATCCTTTTATCATTTTTCACTTGGGTTATCTGTCTTTTTATTGTTGATTTACAATTCTAAATGCAGGTATTTTATCAGACATATGATTTGCAAATATTTCCTTTCATTCTGAGTTGTCCTTTCACTTTTTTTTTTTAAGTCAGGATCTCACTCTGTTACCCAGGCTGGAGTGCAGTGGTGCAACCATGACTCACTGAATCTTGACCTCCTGGGCTCAAACCATCCTTCTGCCTCAGTCTCTTGAGTAGCTGGGATACAGGTGCATGCCACTGTGCTCAGCTAATTTTTTTATTTTTGTAAAGATAAGGTCTTGCTATGAAGCCCAAGCTGGTCTCAAACTCCTAAACTCAAGCAATTTCTGACTCGGCCTCCCAAAGTTTATTACAGGAATGAGCCACCATGCCTGGCCTTTTCATTTTCTTTTATTATTTTTATTTTTGTTCACTTTCTTTATGGCATGCTTTTCATCGAAAAGTTTTTAGTGTTTACGAGACCAAATTTATCTGATTGTGTTTTTTAAAGGAAATTTTGTATCAATCCCTCAAATGGAAAACCATTATCAATGACTTATAAATAGAAGACCATTGTAAAAATTAATCCTTTTACAAATCTATTTAATAGGGAGAAGGTAAATGTAAAAGTAAATGTATTTATAAATAAAATGTAGCTGGGTGCGGTGGCTCACACCTGTAATCCCAGCACTTTGGGAGGCAGAGGCAAGAGGATTGCCTGAGTCCACGGGTTCCAGACCAGCCTGGTCAGCTTGGCAAGACCTTGTCTCTACAATAAAAAAAAAAAAAATTAGCCGGGCATGGTGGCTCATGCTTATAGTTCCAGCTACTTGGAAGGCTAAGGCAGAAGGATCACCTGAGTCCAGTAGGTCGAGGCTGTAGTGGCCATGAGCATGCCACTGCACTCCAGCCTGGGTGACAGAGTGAGACTCTGACTAAAACAAAATAAAATAAAACACAATAAAGCCGGGCTCAGTGGCTCAGCCTGTAATCCCGCACCTTGGGAGGCTGAGGGGAGTGGATTGCCTGAGCCTGCGGGTTCGAGACCCGCCTGGGCAACTTGGTGAGACCTCATCTCTACAACAAATCAAAAAATGAACCCGGCGTGGTAGTGTGCACCTGTAGCTCCAGCTACTCGGAAGGCTGAGGCGGAAGGATCGCCGGAGCCCAGCAGGCCGCTCCCGGCCACCGCACTCCCGTCTGGGCGACAGAGTGAGACTCCAACTCAAAAACAATAAAAATAAAAATTAAAAAAATCTAAAATGTGTTCAATTGACTCTATTCATTTTGCTGTGCTAAGTGCAACGCAGCAACGCAGTGGGAAACGCAGTTGTGCCCTGTACCATCTTAACTTAGTCTTTGGCCATCTTTGGTTACCAGTTTCTTCATCAACCAAATAGAGTAGTGAAATAGACTGGTGATCTTTAGACTTTTTGAAAGCCATAGAAACCTTTTTGGCAGTCAAATTTTTTGCAAACCTCAGTTTATAAAATACATAAATTTAGTTACCCAGTTGAAACGGGGCGGGGGACGATCTGACATTCCCCTCTCCAACCTTCCTCTCCTGGCCTATGGCATCTCTGAGGTTCCCAGAGGTCCAAGGAATCTGGTTTAAAAACCAGGGGATCCCAAACCATTGTCCAAGGACGTGACTGGCTGACATCAGAATCCCCTGGGGGTTAACTAAAAATGTTGGCAGCTGAAACCCAATCTAGCCTGCTGAATCAGACTCCAGGGGTGGCCCTGCAGATGTATGTCTCACCCATGCCTGGGTGTTCTGATGGGAGGCACTGATATGAGCCCTCCCTGCTGGGATGGGCTGATATCTCTAAATGTAGGAAGCTGTTGAGTCCCATCCTCAGTCATCATTGTTACCTGTCGTAACTGGGGCAGAGAACCAGATGAGAACTGGCACAACCCCACAAAGATGGCTGCTGCCTTTGAAGCCACCTGGCAACTGCCCTGCCCTGCCCAGAGCTGTGAGCTCACTCACCTCTTAAACCAAAGCTTCAGGCGGGAATGGCCCTGTGGCTTGAGCAACTTCCTCAACTTTGGCCCCAGAATCCTCTTCAGCCGGCTGTGGGCCACGAAGGCAAGGACCACACAGGTGAGTACAAACAGTGGCAGGGCCCTCTGGAAATTCAGGAGGCAGGCAGCCAGCAGGAAGGCAGCGAAGGCTGGGGATGAAGCAGAGAAGGGGTCAATGATGATGACACCACCTCCCCAGGCCCTGCAGCCTCACCTGTGGACTCCACCTTATTCCATCTGGAGTGTGGAGGGCAAGACAGTCACCCAACCTCTGGGCTTCAGTTTCCTCATCTGGAAATGAGAATAATCATCCCTACTGTGTGTCTAAAAGTTATTATGAGTTAACGGGCAGAATGTGTGTGAAAGGACTTTGTAAACTGTAAAGTGCGGACCAAACATGAGGGAGATGTGCAAGGGGGCTGTGAAGCAAAATAGCATGAAACTCTGGGTATCAGTGTAGCAGCTGTCATGATCCAGAGACACGCCAGGTCCCATGGAGATGAGCAAGTCGGTTCCTCGACAGAGGAGCTCACGCTTGTGTGCTGGGACCATATTCTGAAATATTAATCAGTGACCATTTTCTTCCTGGAATTTCCTTTTCCCCTTCTGCCTTTTTCTCCTTGGAGTGGCTGAGTTGGTCTGTGCTTATGTCTCCAGAAATAAATGTGATAGTGGATAGCAAAGGGGGAACTGTCTGTCTCTGGCTTTTGAATTTCAAAATCCAGGACCCTTGAAGAATGAAATGGACTCGGTCACGGATGAACAATGTGGTCTGAAACATTCCAAGTAATTATAAGTCCCACACACCTCCTTGCTATTAGACTAGTCAGAGCATGACAAGAACAAGGACACAGGTGGGTCCCCAAGAAAGGGCCTGAGCCTAGCAAGGCGGCCAAAGCCAGGTGTGTTTGTGTCCACGCAGACAGAGGACCCCTGTGCCTTGCTTCCGCGGTTGAGCTCCAGGGAAGCACCAGGACTTCAGAGAGAGGAGAACTTGTGAGATTCTATAGGCATCAAACCAGCAGAAGTGGTTCTTATGAGGCTAGATGTGGTAATTTATGCCTGTAATCCCAGCACTTTGGGAGGCTGAGGAGGGAGGATCCCTTGAGCCCAGGAGTACAAGACCAGTCTAGGCAACATAGCAAGACCTCATCTCTACAAAAAAGAAAAATTTTAAAATTAACCAGGTGTGGTGGTGTACATCTGTAGTCCCAGCTATTTGGGAGGCTGAGGTGGAAGGATTGCCTGAGTCCAGGAGGTCAAGGCTGCAGTAAGCCATGATTGTGTCACTGCACTCCAGCCTGGGCAACAGGGTGAGACACTGAGTAAAAAAAAAAAAAAGGCTCAGAAGAGGAGAGAGGTGGGAGACCAGAATAAGTCCACAACGGAGAAAGAGGCATCTCCATGGCTATTTGCAAGGATAGAGAACCCAGGTCCAGCTGGAAAAGCAGACAGGCCAGCTTTTGAGGAGTGAGAGTAGATACGCTCCTCTGGGGACCCCCCGGAGGAAGAGGTGAAGGGAAATTTCAAGGGGACAGAAAGTAAGTTCCTATCACTCAGTGCAATGATAAAATTGAAATCGAAGACGAAATTACCTTACTGTCTCACGGAAGCTAACCGGATGGGGTTCCTACCTGGATGGGTTTCATTTAGAGACACCCAGGTGGAGCTCTATAGAGTGGTGCAGGGAGGCAGGTACAGGCTGGAGGAGCTCAAGGGAGGGTGTCTGGCCAGGTGGAGGCTCTGTGGTTGCCAGGTGCTGAGCTCAGCACTTTATATTCATTTGCGCAATGAATCCTCACGACACTGAGGATGCCCACTTAGAGAACGGGGCTTCTGAGGCCAGTCATGTGACGAGGCACAGGTCTGTTTGCCTGTGCTTCATGGCCAGGGAGAGTGGGCGGGAATGGGCAGGCCAAGGCAAGGACTCAGGAAAAGGAAGCGATGTGGAGGGGTCTTCCAGGCGGGGCACAAGGAGAAACTGGCTTAGGAAGTATTTTTATTTTTCCAGGATTCATTTACCCTTCTGGTGACGGGACTTTTCTGTTCCTTTTGATATACCTTTACCCCCCTTAGCCCATGTGGTTCAAGGGTGCCTGACCCACTTCAGGAGTGGCGAGACCACCATATCCCCTGGGCACAGGGGTAGGTTCAGAGATGGGCACATGACCTGAGATGGGCCAGTCAAAGACCTCCTTGGGACTTCAGCTGGAACAAAGGGCAAGAGGCACACTCTTCTTTAAGACTGGGGATGCTAAGGCCATCCATATTAGTCTAATGTGACAGGGCTATCGTTGCAGCCATGGAGGATGCCTACCTAAGGTAAGGAAGACATTGTCCCAGCTCAAGCACGAAGTACCAAGGATGTGGACTTCATTTCTCTATCAGAGCTACTCCCAGAGTCTGTGAAGGGCCTCCCTGTGAAAAGGATGACACAATAAATTAAAGAATGAGAGGCCACCAGAATCGCCCAAACACAGACGAGACCAGTGTTGATCACCGCAAGGGATGATTTAATAATTAAGACTGAGTTTCTGAGAGCCGAGATCAAAATGCCAATAGGGTGAGAGAGGTAATTTTCATTCTCTATTAGAGATTCATTCATTTCTTCAAGAGAAATAAATCCAAGTCTGAGGATAGCCAGGGGAACAGAGATGGCCTTGGTTTTAAACTCTGCCAAAGAAAGATTCACTGTCTCAGACACATTCTAGAAGGAACCTGCAAGAGACTTGAATCAACCTTATCTCAGCAGACAACCCTGCTTTCAAGTTCACCAAGGAGACAGAGGCCATTGCTGTCATCTCTCTCACTGTCCCCTTCCCTCCCTAGCACCTAGGATGAGCTCTCCATTGGCAGCCACCCTCTCGCCTCTCTCTTTCAGTCTGTCAGGATAAGGTGAGCTCCCCTATTAAGACCTGCTCCTCCTCTGGGCCCTTCTTCTCTGGGCTGGCGCCATCAATTATCTCTCTTATTTTATTTGTTTTGGTTTGTTTTGTTTTCAGAGACAGGATCTTGTTTTTTGTTTTTCGTTTTTTTTTTTGAGTTGGAGTCTCACTCTGTCGCCCAGACTGGAGTGCAGTGACCGCTCCCGGCCACCGTAGCCTCGACCTCCTGGGGGCTCTGGCAATCTTTCCGTCTCCGCCTCCCAAGTAGCTGGAACTACAGGCATGCACTACCATGCCTGGCTCATTTTTGATTTATTGTAGAGATGAGGTCTCGCCAAGTTGCCCAGGCAGGTCTCAAACCCGCGGGCTCGGGTAATCCACTCACCTCAGCCTCCCAAAGTGCAGGATTACAGGCTGAGCCACCGAGCCTGGCTAGAGATAGGATCTTGCTCTGTCACCCAGGCTGGAGTGCAGTAGCATGATCACATCTTGCCACAGCCTCCACCTCCTGGGCTCAGGCAATGCTTTTGCCTCAGCCTCCCAAGAAACTGGGACTACAGGCACACATTTTTTTTTTTTTTGTAGCGATGAGTATCGTTATGTTGGCTAGGCTGGTCTCAAACTACTGGGCTCAAGCAAACCTCCCACCTCAGCCTCCCAAAGTGCTGGGATTAGAGGCGTGAGCCACCACACTCGGCCAACAGTTGAATAGATCAGTCATCTGCTCATCATCTCCAACTCCTCCATGTTCCTTCTACAGACTCCCATCTCAGATCAGAAACACAAGGTGTCTCCCATCCCAAACACGTGCCCATCCTGGACACTTTGTCACATCCTGCCCATTCATATTTCCTCCTTATTCTCATTAAAAAAATTGTTTCCCAAGAGCCGTCTACACTTACCTTATCTCTCATTTACTCCAATCCCGTTTTTGCACTTACACCCTAAGTCACCAATGACCTCTTTGTCCCTCAATAAATGGACGCTGCTCAGTTCTTGTCCTGTGGGTCTCTGCAGAAATGCTGCTGATGTTTCCCTCCTTCCTGAAACCCTTTGCTCCCTCGGCATCTGCCAATCCCTGCTGTGTGGCCAGTCCCAGGCTCCTGTCCTTGACTTGCCTCTCAATTGTCCCCAGAAAACTTCTGCTACCCCATGGCCTGGCAGTGGTACCGCCAACAGACTGTCTGAATTATCCCCCTCCCTGCCAAGACCACCTCTTCCCGTGTTCTCTATGTGGAAGGCACCATCACCCACCCCAACACCCAAGCAGGAACCTGAGGCAGCCTTGATGTGGTGTCTTAATCCTGTATACCCATTCAGTTCCCAGGTTTAGCTGGCATTGCCTCCCCAGGACTTCCCCAATCCACCCTTCCATCTTCCCCCACTTCAGGCTCACACGGGCACTGTAGCCCTCAACGTCTCCTTGTCCCCATCTTTCGGTCCCATCATCTAGGGTCCCACAATGTGAATTTGGCCCTGACATTTCCCTATGTAAATCCTCAATGGATCTCTCAGGCCTTGAGGGAAAAATCCAAGTCTCAGCCAAGCTCAGTGGCTCAGCCTGTAATCCTGCACTTTGGGAGGCCGAGGTGAGTAGACTGCCTGAGCTCATGGGTTCGAGACCAGCCCGGGGAACTTGGCGAGACCTCGTCTCTACAATAAATCAAAAATTAGCCGGGCATGGTAGCGCATGCCTGTAGTTCCGGCTACTTGGAAGGCTGAGGCAGAAGGATTGCTGGAACCTAGCAGGTCAACGCTGGGGTGGCCATGAGTGTGCCACGGCACTTCAGTCTGGGCTATAGAGTGAGGTCCAACTCAAAAAAAAAATCTGAGTCTCTGAGCATCCTCCCACCTCCCTGCCCACTTCCTATTCCAGGCCCTCTTATCTCTCTAGCCTCGTGCTCTGGCACTCTGTGTAGAACTTTACCCGGACTCCAGACTTTAAAGCACAGACACTAGAGTTTATCAAAACCCACACCCTGCCCGTGTTCGCCTTTGCTCCTGTGACTCCTCTGCGTGGGGTGACTTCTCAGTCCATACTGTCCTACAAAACTGTGAGATTCTAATGCTGCCTCCTCCTGGAAGTCCTCCGTGACCATTCCCTGTCCGTCCCGGGTGTTCCCAGATGGTTCCATGCATTATGTGGAAATACTTGTCCCCCATCACTCACTGATGAGGGAGTGCCTTGGGAACAAGATCTGGTCTGGCTTAACTGATGTCTCAGTCTTTGGCAAGGGCGCTGTCCCTGAACTGATGCTCAATAAACAAGTGCGAATAATTGCTGAAGTGAATGACCCAGTCCTGAGAAATGGAGAGCTGGGGCAGGAGTCACTGTCCTCTCGGTAGGGCTGGGCCCCAGACTCACCAGCACAGAGCAGGCCTATGCAGATCCATCGAAACAGTTGCTTGTGCTCCTTGAAGAAGCTTCTCGCTCTCATGGCTGGCTGCAGGATCCTCCTAGGAATAGGACCAGTAGGGTCAACAAGTGGCCCCCAGACTCCCACCCCAGGGGAGATCCTCAGTGTCTCCAGGTGGAAGCCCCTCAGTTATGTCCCCAGCACCTGAGCCAGACACTGGCCTTGACATCCCACAGGAATACAGGGCAACCCCAGCCCAGAGCAATCCCAGAAGGGCTCAGGTCCTCTCGCTTCTGTGTGCACAAGCTGTGCCTTGGGCCTGGAGCAGCCCCCAAGCCCCACTACCTAGTGGTAATCCTTGCCTCCCGGGCTCCAGAGAAAGTGAATGGATAGCCAGGCATGGTGGCTCAAGCCCGTAATCCCAGCACTTTGGGAGGCTGAGACGAGAGGATTGCCTGAGTCCAGGGGTTCGAGACCAGCCTGGGCAACTTGGCGAGATCTCGTCTGGACAATAAATTTTTAAAAAATTAGCTGGGCGTAGTGGCACGCGTCTGTGGTTCCAGCTACTTGGAAGGCTGAGATGGAAAGATCACCTGAACCTAGCAGGTCATGGCTGTGGTGGCCATGAGCATGTCACTGCACTCCAGCCTGGGCAAACAGTGAGACGCCTACTAAAAAAAAAAAGAAAAAGAAAAGAAAAAAAGAAAGTGAACAAATAAGGCAGAACTTCGTCAGCACACCAAATGCACACACAAAGATGGCTGCCTCCACACCCCTGTCATGTGTCTACCTGTCCATGAAAAGGTGGAAAAGCTCCCAGCTCTGCATTCATTCCCAGGGGACCTGGGACACTTATCCTCTGAGTCAGCAGCTCCTATTCCTGAGAGAGGATGCTCCAAACAGCCTGCCTCTACCTGGCGGTGGTCATACCACCCCCCACTGCCTTCGGGGTCCCGTCCAAATGCTAATTCTTGCCTGGTCCTTTGGTCACTTGTTCATCCCTGGAGGAAAGGCTAGTACCTGAATAGCCTCTAGGGTCCCACAGGCTGAGCATCGAGTAGATGCTCAGTCAAGCATGTCAGAATCCAACCATCCATTACTGTTTGAAGGAGCCTCTCATACCCCTTCTGTCCTCACTTCCTGCCTCCTGAAAGGGTGGGTGAGGTAAGCCCCAACCAATCCCCCCACCCAGAAAGACAGCTGAAACCCCTTCTCCACCACTACCCCCCTGTCCTTCACACTTTTCTTAACTTAGGATCCAGTCAAAGAGGACCCCAGGGGCCTGGGCACCAGGAGGCAGAGTTCCAGGCTCATCTCAGTCCCAGGCCTCTGAGACCCAGGCTGGTCCTCTTCCCTCTCTAGGCTTCTCTCTCCCATGTAAAGTGAGGGGCCTGGTCCAGTTCAGGAGTTTCAAACTGAGCCTCAGGGCTCCCTGAGGTGCCCCTGAGACTGAATGGAGTCAAAGGCAGATGGAGGAGGTTGAGAGGGAGGCCTGGCCAGAGCAGCCTCACAGGACACACTGGATTCACTCTGACTACCTAAAAGCAGGTGGGGACCCTGGGACCTAGCTCGCCTCTGAGGCAGAGGCCAGCACAGCTCTTGTGTCTGAGGGTGTGGCCTGTACACCTTCCTTCAACAAAGTTTCATGGACCTGTCCCCAAAGCAGCCTCCTCCCCAGGCCAGCCCTTATTCCCAGGTCCCCAAAGCAGCCTCCTCCCCAGGCCAGCCCTTATTCCTCAGGGATCACCTACCATGTGGAGAAGGGATTTGACCCCGCCTTGTCCTGGTTTCCCCCATTGGCATCTGTGGGGCTTGAATCGCTGCCAGGGAGCTGGCCTTCCTCCTAAAGCCAACAGGGAGCCATCAGGTAACCTTCCAAGCAGACCAGAACTAGCACTGAGGGGTCCGGAGAGGTGAGACCCTGGCAGCACCAGAAGTGATTAGAAGGCTGCTTAACTAAATTCTGCAAAGCATGCATTGAGCACATACTATGTGTAGGACTCTGTGCTAGAAACATCCTGCCCTCAGGGTCTGTAGCAGGGAGGGTACCTGTGGCTCAGCTGTGGCTGGTGGGGGTCAAAAGGAAGCTCCAAGCAAGATCCCAGGCAAGGCCACCTCATCAAATGACTCCAGTGTACCCCATAGTGTACGGAGTTGTTCTGGGTGAGGAGGTGGATACTCTTGCAGATGCCAGAGTAAAAGTGATACACAGGGAAGCAAAGAAGAAGGCAACTTGTTGGGGGAGATTGGGAGGGCAGAGGGTGTTGGATTAGGCGCAAAAGTTCAGGGTAGTGTGCCTTGACCTGGCCATCTGAACGCGAGGCTTTTTGAAGATGGAACTTCCTCAGGGATCCCTTTCTCATCATATGGTTTCTATTCTCATTCTTTTTTTTTTTTTGAGTTGGAGTCTCACTCAGTCACCGCAGCCTCGACCTGCTGGGCTCTGGCGATCCTTCTGCCTCAGCCTTCCGAGTAGCCAGAATTACAGGCACGCGCTACCACTCCCAGCTGATTTTTTTGGATGTATTGTAGAGATGAGGTCTCACCAAGTTGCCCAGGCGGGTCTCAAACCCGCGGGCTCAGGCAATTCACTCACCTCGGCCTCCCAAAGCGCGGGATTACAGGCTGAGCCACCGAGCCCGGCCTCTACTCTCATTCTTTAGGCTGTGACTTAATGTCACTTTCTCACTGGAACCTTCCTTGCTCTTTCAGACAACAGGTTATATTGGTACATAGTAGGTGCTCAGTAACTGTTTAATGAGTGAAATAAAGGGGGCTACCTTGAGTTGAGGCAGCCGACACATTGGGGGTTTCCTAACAGTGCAAGCAAAGGGGTGAGGGGGAGGCAGGAGAGGAAGAGTGTAAAGGAAGAAGGTGAGCAACCCCCCCCAACCAGTGGGCTGGAACTCAAGCTGGGAGGTCAGGATGGAGGAGAGGAAGGGCACAGACCAGGCTCTCCAAGAACTCAGCCTCCGTGTTCTCCATACTGTTGGCCGCGGGTCTGAGAGGGAAGGACTCTCTCTGTTTTGGGGGGTCGTTCTCCATGTGTCAGGCCTTCTAGCTGAAAGACAAATCAAGGAGGGTCCAAAAGTGAAAGAGAGGCCAAGCAGGGCTCAGGCTAGGAACCTGGAGAAGAAAGAGTCCTGAGGCCTGGGTGGGGGGAGTAGATGCCTGGCACAGCCAGATACCTGCTTGGGCCCTGCCTGCGTTACCCCCCCACCCCAGAGCTCACACCTCGTTGTGTCTAAGGTCATAGCTTTGGGTCTCCAGAACATGGAGGAGGTGTCCCTTCCTGCACTTATTTCTGAGCCTGTGAGAGATAAGTCCTGATAAACTCTGGGAGTTCCAGACAGAGACGGCAAATTACACCCACTCATGGGGAAGAAAAGCGAGCAATCATGTAACAGCATGTGTCTCTATCTGATCCAGGCTTTTTTCTGAAGAGAGGCCTAAGTTTTCTTCACTCCCCAAAACAAGTGAAGACTACTGCCATTAAGTGATGCCTTCATTGCATTATGCTTTCCAACTTTTTATTTTTTTTGAGTTGGGTCTCACTCTGTTGCCCAGGCTGGAGTGCAGTGGCATGATCACGGCTCACCACAGCCTTGACCTCCTGGGCTCAGGTGATCCCTTCCACCTCAGCCTCCCGAGTAGCTGGGACTACAGGGACATGCCACTATAGCTGGCTATTTTTTTTTTTTAATTTTGTATAGATGAGTCCCACTTCTGAAAGGTGGAGATGCAGCACCCTGAACACCTCATTCTGGACTCTGGATCCAAGCCTACCTGAAACCAGTCCTACCCCTTTTCCACTACAAGAACCAATGTAGTTCCTTTTTGCTGAAGCTCAGTTCATAGGTTTAAGCTCATCTGTAAATAACAGTGCTAACACCTCCTTTCTCCCCACTCTCGTTCCCTCCACTTTTCACTTCCTTGGCCGGCCGGCATCCTATCCTATCCGGAGACCAGCCTGGTTCAGCTGACACACCCAGAGGTATGTACCTGTGTACACACGTGCACACACACACACACACACACACACACACACACACACACACACACAAGCATGGACACGTGGAATGCACACACACGCAGAGCCTGGTAAAGCCCGGTTACCTGGCACATACCCAGATACAGCTGCACAGAGCGAGGCACAGTCCTGTTCCTACTCACGTATTTGTGGTCAATAGACAGAAGCACACGTTTTTGTGGGAACAAGCTAGGTCCAAACTTGCTTCTGCTTTTATCACTTCAGCAGAAATTCCTGGGAATTCCAGAGTCCAGAGTTGGAGTAGGTTGGGCCTGCCACCGGGTTCTGGCCAGTACCTCTCCAGAGTGCAGGGCAACGGCCAGGGTGGGGCCCTCAACCCACTGAGAAAGCAGGCCACTCTAGGCCGGGCTCCAAAAGTTCTGGGTGATGTGTCTTGACCTGAGCCTTTGAAAGTGAGGACAAGACTGCAAGCTTCTTGAAGGCTGGGACGCTTGTGGAGATCCCTCCCCTCCCATTTCCTTCCCACCCCCGCTCCATCATCTGGTTTCTATTCTCATTCGTTAGGTCTAGCTCAGAAGCCACTTCCTCATTGGGACTTTCCTTGCCCTTTCAGAACAGGACAGGCAATATTGGTACATAGGTGCTCAGTAACTGTTTAATGGGTGAAATAAAGGGGGCTCAGCCCCCATGTTCTTCAGATCCTGCATCTCCTGTCCCGTAACTGCTTCTCCATCTGAGATTTCCTCCTCTCTGCTCTGCCCAGGGCCCAAACTAACCTCTTCCAGGAAGTCAGCTGTGTGATCTTGGCCTTTGCCCTCTTGTGACCTCCTTTCCCCAACCAGGCTGTCAGTTTTTTGCATTTTATCTTGCATTTTGCATCTGACTCGGTCTCCCTGTCTTGTTCGGTCAGTAACTATTATACCAGTAACCTATTTTCCTAAGCTTGGAGATGTAGGAAGCAGTGCAGGCCTCCCCAGTGGTAAACATGTTTCAGGCCAAAACCTCAATACAGCCAAGAAAACAGAACAAAATCACACCATTTCCCTCTTCTTCCATCCTTTTTAAATGAACGCCTAAGCCAAAGAGTGTGCAAAGTGAAGGGACACACTCTTTCGTTTTAAAATCCTCAAATTGAACATTAAACTAGTCTGATGGAACGGACAATATCTCTTTAATAATGAATGGTCCACACACAGACAGTATCCTTACGGTGCAGAAATATTTCCTGGTAGCACAGGGTGTGGATTTACTGGCACATGCTTATTTGGGGAAGTTTGGAACGGATGACGGATAGAGGGGGGAGGACACTTCTGTTTGAAAACATTTTTTTCTTTTTCCCTCTGTCTGTTGTTTGGATTACGAAAGAATTTCAAGTTTATCATTAAACCGTTAAATATTATAGAAATATACAGAACACAGGAAGCTAAAATCCCCCTAATCTGAGCCCCCGGGGATGACCACTACTGAGTTGTGGCATTTTTTCTCCCCCCCGTTTTTTCCCCCTAAATGTGTATTATGTTATTCATTTTCCAACACAGGATCACACTGTTCCAGCGTTCCCACAATTTGATTTTTTTCCAGCAGAGAGCCACACCCTGTTGGGGGCCTTGTGCTCCCTTAGCTGAACTAAATGTTTATCCTGAGCGGATGCCTGCCTCCTAGGGCAGCCTTCATGGGAGTGGAGGGAGGGAAGCCCCCAACAAGCCCCAGTAAGGGCAAATGGGCTGCTCCGGGTTCTCCGTCACTACCCTGTTCTAGCCCATTCCCTTGCACCCCCCTCCCTTCCCTCCTCTCCTGCTGTCTTTTCCTCTCACCCTTGGTTTCTCTTGGTGCCCAGAGGCCACCAGGAGACACAACACCTTCAGTAGTAGTCATGCTTATTTCAAAACATTGCAGTGTTTAACCTTGACACCCTCATGGCCTTGATCTCCAAATAAGGATGCAATAGGCTGTACATCATAGGATGAACCTTGAGCGTGGAGCCCAAAGGTCTACACTCATGACTCTCCAAGCAAACTTGGTTCCTCATCTGTAGGGTGGGAATGGGGGTTGGAGGGCGGGTAATAGTACCTCCGAGGAGTAAATGAGCTTATGCTCAGGAGTGCTTGGCAGGCAGCTGGCCCCATTAGGCTGGCAGGTGTCACTGCTGTCACAGCTCCCATCCGGAGACTTTCTGGACACACTGCTCCCCTCCTCCAGGTCAGGAGATCCCTGGCTTCTCCTGTGCTGCTCACCTCAAGGAGGGGCAGCCCCAAGAATTCCAGCCCCCGGAAGCCAAATGCTCTTATCAGATGGAATTTGGCTAAAAGTTACAGGCCAGGCAATTGGGAGGCTGGATATATTGGGACAGAGACCCCCAGGGAAAGACTGAGCTGGAGGACCTCGGGTGCCCATCCAGCTGTGGGACCTCCGTGTGTCACTTGTCCCCTGGGAGGCCCATTTGCTGAGGAGACAGTCCCTGAGGCCTGACCCACCCACTGGGGCTAGCTGAGTGAGACTCAGGGCTGAGCCAGCCAGCCCAGGCAGAGTGAGGGGAGGACTACATGAATATGCATGTAGATTTTCCCTTTCCATCAAACAGCATTCAGAAGGGTTTGCAGTGAAGAGGCTACTCTGCCTCTCCAACCCTGTCACAGTCCCCAGAGGCAGCCACTTAACTCTTTCTGGCTTTAGTTCTTTTGATGCCCACCTCCTGTTTTAGGAGAATTTTTGCCCAGAGTTGGAGAGAATCCCTTCTCCTCACCAGGCTCTGATGGACCAGGTACCCAGTGTTGCCACATGCCCCTCCCTCCTCTCTCCTTCCTCTAGTTGTGTCCAGTGTCTGCTAATCCCACTCTTGTGCTCACATGACTGGCGGAGGCCATGACAATCGGGCTTAGCATGGGAACCGAATGAAGACGCCCCCCTGGAAGGCAAAGCCCCAGAGGGGATCCGTGTGCGTGGCATGGCCCCACGGAAAGTCTTGAGGAAGTTTTGCATAACTGTCCTGTGACACATGGTCGCCTGGTTATTCCCATTATATCGTTATACTCCTGCCTTACAGGAATAATATGTTTTAATTTCCCTCGGAAAAGAATAATGTAACCAGAATTGGAGGGTACAGTGTCTACAATGCCAGTAATAAAGCAGTCAATGTTTCAACATTGACTATGCCTCAGAAAATGCAAATAAGAACAGGAGAGGTCATGACAACCCAATCGTCAATAAAACCAATCACTGTAACATCCACTGCAACAAAATGTACCTTTAACTGTATGACAAATGAAACACTTAGAGATTTTCTATTAAAATTGTGGCATAAAGAATTAACAGAAACTGAGGTAAAAACTGTTACAGATAACATAGGTATAGTTAAACATCAGATTAGTCATAAAACCGGAACCCCAAATAATAAAGCTCTTAAGCCCTTACCTACTATTAGAGCAGGACAACATGTGGGACATAATATTAATAATAGAGTTTGGTGGGCCCCTAGGGGTAAAAGCAGTATACAAGATTTATCGTGGTTAGATCCTCCTTTACCTTACACCGGAGCTTATGATAAAGACATGGTTAGATGGGCTTGGGTAGATGGCAGATGTGTTAAATAGAACTCTCTGTTGCTCTGGGTAAAAATTAAATGTAATAGCCCACCATGGTGTCTAATTCTAAAAGCATAAAAAATAAAAATCTGTTATAAAGTAAATTAATGGTATAAGAAAATTAAATGTAGTTATTATATAACAAAAGATTGTGAAAATAGATATAACTAGTTAAGCTTGATATAATTAGTGATAATGATTCTTTGCTATTGTTTAATTATAAAAATAAGTTAGGAATATTTAGAATAGATGAAGTAAGCTTTGTGTGAATATACATATTATTGCTTTAATAGCTGATTGTCCTTTTTTACCTTTTATTTTCTTTGTAGAAAATTATATATTTTCATAAAATAGGATGTTAAGTTTATAAGGTTAATAGTCCAGCAGGTGGTGGTAGTGATAACCACAAAAACCGGTTTTGGGTTTATGGGCAAATTATATTAATCATTAACTTTATAATAAATCTTGTAAGA